TTGTATGTATTATTTATACATTTTCTTAAATATATGAATATACTTAATTTCTTAAATATATTAACCAGCAGCTCAACTGATATAAGCAGGCATAATATCACTGAAGTCAAAAGAGACACACTCACTTAAAAGAACTTTTGATCTGACCTACAGTAGATGGTTATTAACTGGAATTTTAACTGTCTTGAGATAAAAAATTCCTATTACTATATTGCAATTCTCTACTGATCATGTACATGTACCTACTTGCAGCTCCATTTTCTACTCTCCCCAAAACTGAAAAGCTAAGGCTTGTGTTTGGTGCTATAGGTGTTTCTGAAGTGCAAGACCTACCAACCAATGCATGACCTCGATTCATTCTAATTTCCAGAAGTACCATTTCAAATACTGAAACAATCAAGAACTGAGCTGCGGTGTTTCATAGAGCATTTCATAACTTTTCAAGTATCCCAAGCAATGGGGTATGGCATCTGGAACATTATGTGAAGTAAAACAGGAGATACCATCTTGCATCAAACTGGTGGCCCAGTTCTTCCCCTGTGACAACAGCTAGCAGGAGATATTTAGGAAGTTAGCATAAGATGCAGGATTAACACCAGAATGACCATAATATCACCATACAGCTTCTAGCAGTCAACAGTTAACACAGTCTGTATCATCCCAACTATCATGTTCCATAGTGTGGGAGAAGCTTTCCCAAGAACCTGTCTAATCCTTTTTGGGACCCGCTAACACTTTTCACTTCCAAAGTATCTTGTGGCAATGAGTTTCATAGTTCATTTATATGTGAGGTGTAAAGTATTTCTACATTGGAGAAATACCAGAGGAAAATAGCTAAATATTGTATAACGTAATCATGTATTGTGTTTTTAAAGCAAGACAGATTGTCTAAAAATACAATGCTATTTCAGAATGCAGCTTTGGAAAGAATCTCAATACTGTACTCATTCAAATTTTTTCCTCTCTAAGTTCTCAGTGACTCTGTCCGAATGCTTAACTTATCTATTCAAGCTGGCCGTATCAGCCAAAGTTGTGTTAAATCACTTTGTATGGAATGCAGGACCATTGCCTGACAACAGCACAACATGTAGTGACTGAATCCATGTCCTCTAAGCACGATCATAAACGGAAGTAGAACACCAAGACTGAGAGTAGAAAACAGTTTATAATCCAGGTGACACAGGAGCAAAGAAGTGTGGGGGACACCTATACGTCTAAACCGTTCAATTCTCCCTGACCATGGAGGAATGAGAATTGGCAGCCACACACAGAACAATCACTGCAAGCCTAAACAAAACTGGAACAGCTGTTTCTCTTCTCTTTCTACTGGCAAAGCAGAATACTTCAGAGATGAGAGAAAAGGAAAGTTTTGTGCAGAAGAAGAGGGTTGGAGGTCTGTTTTTGTTCTCTCCACATCCACTTTTCTCAGGTATTTTCAAATAACACTTTAGAAAATAGTACAACTACGTGTTTCCATTCAATCTGATCTGCCAGTGCTGAACTGCCTTCTCTTTCAGTCAGTTAAGTTCTTGAAGTGCCAGTTTTAGGTAGCTCTGTGTGCCTTTTTTCTTTTTTCCTTCTTTCTTTCTTCTCTATTGGCAAGACAAGTTGATCAACGCATTGCCAGCAGAACTTCAAAGACTACTTGAGAACAGTATCTTTAGCAGTCTAAATTACAGGTCAACATAAGAACCCGAATGTTGCATTACAAAGGCACTATCAAATATCACTGGAAAGCGCTCAGTAACTCTCTCTCCTGGATCTGTTCTACAGCCCCTAAGCTATATTGAGCGTGCACATGGCAGACATCTCGCCAGATGCTGGGGTACATGGTAAAAAAAGCTCTCATTTTCTACTGTTAAGATGAGGAGGACAAATATAAACTAGCAAGTTAGTTCAATATTCAGGAGGATATTTCAAATTTTTTTCCAAAGTGAAAAATAGCCAATGCTTTATGTAGGACAACATTTGGACAGCAGTGAGGGAATTGCTACTGTTATTTCCACAGTTAAGTTGGAAGTTGAGTAAAGATTAAATTCTTGTACTAGTTCACTTATTATTTCTGGTTAGGTAAGGCACACACTTTCCATGAAAAACTGTAGAATTTTTAAATTAGTGATCTACATTTAGAGACCTGTAGTAATGAAGAACAATGACTGTATGATGCACTGCACTACCAGTGCTAGTATGATTGCCAAGGACTTATTTTCCTGCAATAAACAAGGGGAAAAGCCTTGCTGAAAAAGCCTAGCTCTCTTGACTATCATGCACGCACAGACTTATCAAACCAGAGTACTAACAACTGCTGCTCAGAAAGGTCTGTAATCTATTTAAGAAAAACTGTGGCACAGATTTTCCTGGATTCTGCATTACACGCAGAGCCCAATATGATGACATAATAATAATCACACCGACACCCCTCAAATCTCCATGTTAGAATATTTGCAAAGATCCAAACAATATAGGCTTGAACTTCTGTAAAGTGTACTTCCAGTTTGATGAGCGCTTCATTTTATTTTTGGATAAGAAATCCTATTATACCACATTTCAAAATATATTGTAAATACAACTTGTTCTGACACTTCATTCTTTTCATCAAATACTGTAAGGAACTTCAGCTGTATTCAAAAATTCTTTTACACTCACAAAGAAAAGGAATATACCTTTTATACCTCCTGAAAGGGAAGAAAGGCAGAACTTGGATATCAGCTTGGTACACAACTGTAGCAGTATTTTGTTCTTGACAAATCGTGTCATAAGAAGTCATGAATTACATTACTTAAGAAGGTCATATGCATACTTAATCATAACAATTACTGGTAGCTGTAAATTTGAAGGGAAGATCCCTAAATACTAGGAACACACAAGTTCTTAAGAGTCAAGGTCTTCAAAAGTCTCAGCTGTGAAATATAACAAAAGATGCTCAAGTCATCTAAAATGACTGCCTAGTGCAACATCATGTAACAACATGAGATGTGTTTCATTCCAAAAATGTAATTTAATACAAAATGTCCTAGAAGAGACAACTGAGTGAGAAAAAGATGCAAGACTACCTAAATGGAAATGTTTTCTAGTTTGCACAAGTAGTTTTGATAATGCAGTAATGAGAAAAAGGCTCTAATAAAATGTATGGGTAGTTAGGAACAAGTCTCCTCAAAAGGAGATCAGCAATTTCAAGTGTCAATGCAACTGAGATGTCAAGATACTTTGTCCTGAGTGAATAGCTACATGGGATATAGCAGATGTGAAAAAATCTGAAGAATGAAGCAGTAAATTCCAAGTAGGGCGCACTTGGGCTATTAGAATGACAGTGGCACTATTTCACTCAACTTTCTGACCTAGAGCAAACAAGAACTGTTGGAGTGCACATAGACGCTCCAAATGCTAGAGGCATAGTAGGCACAGAATTAGCAAACCAAGTGACTCAATGTAGAACAAACCTTACTTGCAAGAAAATAGAAAACACAATCATTCAATGGAGATGATAATCCATTTTACAGAAAGTTACTTTTATAATGTTTCTGAAAGCTCATTAATGCAAGATAGGCATTATAGGCACACGCAAAGGTAAAGGGCTTTGAAGTGATGTAATTTCAGTGAAAAGGCATTCTGATATTTAGAGTACATGTAAAACTGAGGCAAATGTCATTCTTGATTTAAAGCCTCAGACTCCCGGCATACAGAGATAGGATCTATTCAAGATAAAAACACAGTTATAGCATTTCTCAGGTACTTGGTGAAAACCAGAAATGCCAGGCATGTTCGGAGCATCGCTCAGTCGTGTAATTTCTTTACCACTGGTTTTCCTTTCTTTAAGATACGCATCTGCTTTAGGCTTTTCAATCTTCTATTAGATGTTCTCTGACAAAACAAAAAGCGACTTTAGAAATACCTGATTGAGTGCTCATATTAGAACTTTGGTTAGTATGTGAATCTTCATGCGTGCCATCAGCCTCTTTGACACAGTTTCAGACTGCCTCCCCATGCACCACAAAAGACAAGCATGCTGAGAAGGATGTGTAGGATGCCATGTACCTAGAGTTTCCTTCTTGCCCTGGATGAGACTCAGACTGAAGAGATTTGAAGCAGAGGAAAAATTGAGGCAAATGCCAATTTTGACTTGAGGGCAAGAGTCATCAGTAAACCCTACCTGTCTTAGAGTCCTTTATCTTTTTTATCATGAAGTCCAGCCCATGGGTATACTTACTAGCGCTTACCGCAGGGCAAGTACATGTGCTGCATCAGGTACTAATATTAATTGGCAAAAGCGGGGAGGAAACAGCACACCGATCATTGTGATGTAGGCAAAAACAAAGGTCATAGAAAAACATCAGATTTATTTTCTTGATAAAAGTTAGGTTTATTTGAGGATACTTTTCATTACCTCTTTCCCAACATATAAGAAAGGATGGGGGGAGCAGAAGGGAATGACTCTGTTCATCCTTTTAAGTTTCATAGGAACTTCCTTCATAATTCCTAGCTAAATCTAAGACTGTACTCCTCCAAACTGCAAAATGGTGCTCAAATTTGAAAAATTAATAGGGTTTAGACAGGGAAGTACAGTGACTTAACTCTTGCCTCTAGCATTATAGACATTAGATGTGTTGATAGGATTTCTACTCTTTGTGTGATTTTCTGTAACACTAGACAAAGCTTAAAAATAATTATACAGGGTGCTTGTTTGAAGTTACCTGCTTGTCATTTGACATGAAGTCATCCACTTCCAAAGTTCTACTATTATAAAGCTTTCCAGAGAGCAGCACATTAAACTTGCAATACCGATTCAATTCGCAGGCCTGGCAAGACATATTTTTTGGATTTTTCAAGATTATGCGAACATCTGGGTAACAATCCACACGCTCCTGAAAAACAGATTTCAAATAACATTAAAGAATCTCTGTAAACTGAGAGATGCCTCAAATAGGCTGCTGAGTACTCTGTACTCACACAAAATTAGAGCAAGACAAACCAAAGAGATTCAAATCTGAAGTCTTTCATGATTCAGTTGTGAACATATACCTTCTCAATCATTTTCCAACACTTCACTCAGTTCTAGTTCGTTAATTCTTTCTTTCGGCTTCAGACCTAAAGAATGGCTCCTGCATCCGGGCACTTAGTTTCCTCTCATCTCTTTTTTTTTGGAGGGGGTGGGGGTGCAACTATATCAGTTGGGCTTCTTCAAATAAATACACTGTATCTCTCCACTGGCCATACTCCATTATTACAGTGATTATTAGATCACCACACCTATCACACTAATACTATTCTAGTAATTCGCATACAATGACTAGGTTAGTGTATCTTGACTTCACTTTTTTTGAAGTAGTAGAAGGTTCATTATGAACATACTAGTTTATCTTTTTGTGGGAGGAGGAAGAAATTTTGTTGTAACATTTATCAAGTGACAAAAAATCCTCAAAAAGTCATCTGCTGAAGTTAGCAGGAGAAGCATTCAGGTAACTCAGAACAGATTCTGTTCTATTACCTGAATTTTTATCTGGTTATAAACACATAAAATACTTCTGATATTTTTAAGTATCAAAACAAGTTACATAAGGTAAAGAACAATAAGGTTCTACTAAAAAAGTATATATAATTATAGCGATTATTGTACCTTTACTGAGAATTACCGTGTTAAAAAAAAAAAAAAAAATCTGTCAGTAATAATATGATTTGGAGCCCACTTCACTATTTAAAGTAGAAGCTACACACCTTGTATCGATCTTTCCAGCGACTTCTAGAGATTAAGTTCTCAAGACGAGGCTGAATGAAGCGGTCATCCAAATAATGAAGTGAGAGCAACATATCTTGCGCATACTTCTTTTGTCTTGTTCCATCTATTCAGTGAGAGTCGTTACTAGCTTGCTGAAAACCCTATGCTGTACAAGTTTCTTCAAATAAAATTTTCAAGGACATTATGCTTCTGCATACTACGAACTATGAATGATTTTAATAAATTATTACGGAATACATTTGCTACTGTTATCCATAAAAGTGATCCATGCATCTTTGATAAACTGATACATTTAATTATTTTAAAAGTCTGTATCACAAGAGGTACATAAACAAACTCTATAATCAAGGTTAAAGTGAAAAGCTGTCATCCCAAATGGAGACCCATTCACTCGATCCCATTTAAAAAAATGGGAAGGGGGGGAAGGGGGGGAAGTGTCTTGCATTTTGTCCAGTTTATGTAAGCTATTCATAATGTAAGCTGTTCATAATGTATAAGGGAGGAAGTTGCAATCCATGAAAACAATTGCTCTGAGCTGCTTCACAGCAGAAATTTTGACAACTCTCTTCGTCACTTATAAAGAACACATAGAAACTGACCTTTACACTTCAGCAGCACAGTCAGATGCCTTGAGTTAGGCAGCATATGTACTTCCAAATACTTACTCAAGCAAAAGAAATAAACAAGTATGAGGACGAGTAAAACTACCACTATTCCACAACTGTCTCCCAGATATGTGCTGGATTCCAGGAACTGAACAGGACTTTCATAGGTGCAGGCCAATTCATACTGTCTCGAGCTTCAGCATGTACAGACATACAAATTAATTCAGCTACCTTCCCTAGCCTTTTAGCAATGCTGTTATCAAAGAAACAAAACTGAGAAGGACCACTATATAGCTCTCTCTATAAAAACAGTTAATTGTCATTAGTGTCATAGCCACCATAATTACAATTAATTGTTTTTCCATATACACTTTACACACACACATTTTCAGTAAGTCAGCTATACTAAAAGCTTGAAGAAGCTGTGCTAGACCGTAAAAAAAAAAAACATCCCTCACAACAAAAAGCAAGTCTGAACTCTAATACCAAAGTAGCTGCTCTTGATTCAAACTAATTAAGAGATTCACTTCCAATAATTCAGAAAAATCCATTCTGTGGATAAAAATATATCTTTGTAATGCTAGGCTATGTTCATACTATACAATGTTCTTCAGAAAGATAGAATACAACCTCCAACTCACCCACATAGCTGATCTACTTCCAGGACCTTGGCAATAATTTGTTAGTTTTGTAGAGCAGATACAATTTGAAATAGAAGGAAGCTATTACAACATAAAACTGGAAAAGTTTACTAATTACTTTCCATAAGCTTGTTTTCACTTGGTAAAACAAAACAAAACACCGGAAAGAACTAGCAGTGGTAGATGAAAGACATTTTTAGCTCCAAGAATACACAGCCTTTATTCTGAAGTCTGTATTGTATTTCAGTTTCTTCATTCCCTCTTGGTTCCTCATGACACCGAAACTTTCTTTCTTTGGCACTTTGCTGACTCCTTCCACAGCCTGACACTGACAGTCCTCTCATTAATCCCACCTTTGCAGTGCTTCTGAAGCTACATGTGAGGTTTCCATTCAGCCCCACTAGGCCAAATGCCAAAAAGCACTTCCTCAGAAAGAGCAAGACAAGAAATACTGACTGTAGCTGAAATTTAGTTGTTTTATCTGAAAGCACAAATGTTAAAAAAAAGGAAAAGAAAAAAAAAATCGGATATGGAGTAATCTCCATAACTAAAATTATTTATTATCTATCAAATTCCTCAGAAAAAGCTATGAAGCAAGCGACACTTTGACAAATCAGCTGACCTTGCAATGTTTTCATTGAGATATCTACTTTGAAATTAATTTCCCTCTCATGCTGGAACGGTTACTACTGATCAGTAACACAGAAACACTTCCTTAAATCTCAGAATGCCTTCTAGGCTTAAAAGAATTAAGTCTACACATTTTTCTAAGATTACTCTATCCTTTTCAGCTAGATTTCCCCTCCCCCAAAGTTACACAGCAGCAAAACCAAGAACAGATCTCAAGACTCACAGTCCTATACTCTAATCAGGAGACACATCTTTCCATTCCCTAGAATAAATGTCTTTGTATAACTTTGAATGCACTATTATATTATTTAATGCAATTTACTTACCATATAATGAGCTCAGAAAAGTGTCATCAATTGCATTTATGAGGAAAGCCTTTACTATTCTTTTGAAGTGTACATAATGATCACAGCGAGATACTGGGAAGAAAAAAATATAACCAGAATTTACAAAAAAAAAAAAAAGTAAGAAATGTTAAAAGTCCTGTAAGAATAATTTTTTCCATTATTGTAAATTTAGAATTTTAAAGTCATTTAAATATGGATTTAAAAATAATTTCAATGTACAACATCCACACCCTTAAGACCTTGCCTTTAAATAGTGTTTCTCATCCCAATGATCTTAATGAATTTTAGCATCCTAAATTCACACGTCCTTTCAGCAAGAAGAGCCCACAGTAAGAGCTACAAACACTAAAACAAGAGAATATGTTCAATGAGTAGTAGGAAATAATGCAAACAGAGAAGGACAGGCTTCTGGGGTTTTGTTTGTTTGTTTGTTTTTTCTTTGTACTAACTTTCTTTCAAATACACACAACTCTGCTCATGTCTTTACTGGGGAAGAAATACCACAAATGCCTATGACCATCTACACTAGCACCGACTCTGCAGTCAGTACATACCTGCTCCTGAACAACAAAATACTTAAGAAGATAACTAGCATGAAGTTCTGTTTCAAATCTCTCTGTTCCATCCAGATACCATTTTTCATAAAAGATGAACTTGAAAAGTTTTCTCACTCTGTGCAGTTTGGCTGAAATTGACCAATGAATTCAGAAACCCCTATAGACCTGTGCTCCCAAGTCTCACCACCACGGAATAAAAATGCATTAAAAAACAAAAATCCCAAGCCCCAAAAACCCCAAACTCATGGCAAGAATTTTCCATTACTCTCCAGAATAGAATTTGGCCAGAATTAACATAGCTGCTCTTAGCATATATTACAAGATGGAGGATGATACTTTTAGGTCTCCACAGGAATGACTGCATCGTGGGTAGCCTACTTCATCCTAAATCAGACCAACTTAAAAAATCTGTGCAATAGGGTTTCCCTTCCTTCCCCCCAAATTATACCTTCCCTTTAATAATATACAGAAAGACTGTAAAAGTTTACTGTGGAAATCAGAGTACTTCCACGATAAATGGAAGCCTTTTAGGAATCTGCTTTTAAACTATCATCTCCTATTACACAGTATTTGTATTTACAGTCCATTAATATTTATTACAGCACTACAAGCAAGTCATACATATAGAATTGTGACTAATTTTGATCTTACAGTACGGGACGTAGTATGCCAGCAACTCGCTATTTGATGTATTTAGTTCCTTCTGTTGTGGCTGGTTTTCACTCTTTACGTGCTCTGTGTTGTCATCATCATCTTCCTCTTCCTCTACTATAAAATCTTTCATGCTGTCACTGTCACTTTCACTACCTTCTGTTGGTGTGAGGGGCAAGTGACAGAGCGGCTCCTCTTCTGTTTCTGCTTCACCATTAGAATCCTAATTAAATTTAAAAAAGTATTTCAAACACAAGAATTTTCAGTATTTGCACTGATGAAATATACATATACTGGATAAGATTTTTGACCTTCCAATAACACCATTTGTTCAATTAACAAGAAATAATATGTATCCAAAAAATACATCATTCTGTACTAGATGACAACTACTTTCAGCTTTAAATCAGCCATCTTCATGTACCTCTCTTCAGTCTACTTGTAGGAATTAAGCTAACATGAGATCTCTAAGTTACTTCAGCAGGTATTTTGCTTCTTGATAAAAATCATTTGATAGTCCTCTCGCGCGCTTCTTCTTTACGGAAAAAAACAGCCTGATAAAGAAGTTTTTCCTTTCTGAATACGTAGAGAAGACAGACACCTGCATTCTAAGCTGCTTAGCCATCAGAACGCCTGGAAGAGCAAACTAAAGGAAATTCTTAAATCCTCAGTGATTAAAATTAAACTCAAGACAAAGGTTTTCAGCAGTCAATACTGTTATCTAGTAACGTGACAACTGTTAAAATGTGACAGAACTACTGATTTGTCATGAATAAAAAACAAAGCAAAATAAAACAAAGCCCACTGGTTTATATCCATTAATCTTCGCCTTCCCCTACATTCAGTATTTTCTCCAATTGAATTTAAAAGATGAAATCCAGACCTCACAATTTTCACTGCTGCAGGATCTCCGAGTTGCTCTTTGTCTTGCAAGTTCTTTCAATTTTGCAAACACTTTCTGTTTCCTATTAGTAGAAACATTTTCTGTAGAGCAGGTTTTATCAGGTTGCTGTTCTTCGGAACTCTCATCTTCATCCATTATACAGTGGCGTTTAGCAAAAACTTTTCTAACAAGTACATCACTGTCCTCACTTTCATCACTGTCACACAAGACAGAGGTGTTCAACCTTCTACGCTTCCCAGGCACAACGCGCTCTTCCTCACCATCTTCTGTTACTTCCCCATCGTGGCTTTTCTCTTCCTGATCTGAAAGGCTGTTCTTCACAACAGTTTCATCTTTTTCATCTACTTCATCTTCTGATGTGGTAGGCTCTTCCTCCTCAGAAGTACCTGAGGATTCATCATTGCTGTCAAGTAGTATGAGCTCCCTTTTAGTGCGTCTCCAATCAACTCGTGATTTGGATGATGACAGTTCTGTTCCTGCTGTCTTATTTCTTGTTTCATATCTTCTGACAACTGCTTTTATCTCCATTGGAAGGCTGTGATAACACACCAAAATATAAACCGGTAAAACAAAGCACTTACTATATTATGCCAATCAAAAAAAGAGAAGTACAAGGGCATGCATATTTTGTTACACACACTTATGATTTAACAATATCATTAATAAGAGACACACGCAGAAATCAGCACCAAACAAAACTAAGCATGCACAATAACTTCTGAAGAGGATATACCTTACTCAAAAAGTGTAGAAGAGCAGAACTGCCCACACCCAGCATGAATGAACTGGAAAAATCAGGTCTGACGTGCAGCTACAGATCCCATCATCTGCTCCAACACTGGAAGCCTACAGCTGAGGCAGAGCGCTTCCCCACTCCCGAGGAGCGGCGTGCATCGCTCGTTCAGGATCACCG